TGTTTTACTTTTACTTTGTTGGAATGGGAGAAGTGAGTCAATTAATGATGGAAAGGGGTGAGGTCTAAATGAAAACAGTTCTCATGAGAGAAGGTTTACAGAGAGGAGAATTACAGGTTACCGTGCGAAGTGGGAATTGTGTCTTCCAGTTGACGGCGCTTCTGGGAATGCTTGTCTGGTGTAACTCGGAGATCAGGAATTGGAGCGGCAGAAGATGAATGCTGATACAAAGATCACCATAGGATTGAAAGACTTTGACTTCTACACTTATTACAATGACAGCTACAGTGAGAATTATGAGTCCTGCTGTGGAGAACTTACACTATGTGATCAGAAGTCTACCATGTACTTTGATTCCATTTTTATTCCGGTCCTTTACTCTCTGGCGCTGGTAGTCGGGCTGGTGGGAAATGGACTGGTTTTGGTCATACTGTGGAAGAAAAGGCGAATCATGAATGCTACCGACATCTTTATCCTCCATCTTTGCTTAGCTGACATTCTGCTGCTGCTTACGCTGCCTTTCTGGGCTGTAGAGGCAGTGAAGGGGTGGATCTTCGGCATAGCGCTCTGCAAGCTGACTGGAGCTCTGTTCAAGGTGGGCAAAAGTCTATAGGGTCAGTTTTTTATGGCTTTGTGTTGATTTTGTGAAATCATGGGTTGAATTGATTACAATATTCTATAGAATAGATATGCAGTTGGTGGTATTGAAGGAATATTTCTTTATATTTCGTGTTAAAGGAATTTTTTGATAATTTAAATAATTTAATTTTTAAATTTGAATACTATGTAAACAGTGAGTATTTCAACTAATTTTATGGATTGGCTCTATTCATTTCCATTGCTCTTCTTTGAAACCCAGATCTTTTTTTAATATATGGAAAATTCATTTTGTGTGACACAACATTATGCCAAAAATGCTGTTGATTGAGCTTAACTACTGTACCAGGAATATTGCTTTAATAATCAATTATTGGTTTGCAATTTATCATTGTCAAATCTTTCCCCATCAGATCAATTTCTACTGTGGCATTTTCATGCTGTCCTGCGTCAGTCTTGACCGCTACCTGTCCATCGTTCACGCAGTGCAGATGTATTCTCGTAAAAGGCCAATGGTGACTCACTGTTGCTGCCTGATGGTCTGGCTCTTCTGCCTTCTGCTCTCCATTCCTGATTGGAAATTCCTTGTGGCCACTGAGGACTCCAGACGTCAGGATAGAACACAATGTGTTCCAGAATATCCATCTCATTCTTGGCTTCTGGTCACTCGTCTGCTCTACCATATTTTGGGTTTCATTCTTCCAGCACTAATAATGCTGTTCTGTTACTCTTGCATACTGCTGCGGCTGCGGCGTGGCTCCCAGTGCATGCAGAAGAAGAGGGCCATCCGTGTCATCGTAGCCCTGGTACTGGCCTTCTTCATCAGCTGGACGCCCTACAACATCACCCTTATTGTTGACACTATACAAATCAACGAGACCATCAGTTCCAGT